AGGATCTATTTCACTGACCCTTATTTAGTGAGTAGGCAGTGCTTGTAACTATGCAGTATTTCTTGACCAATAAACTCAGAGTAGAAGTTTTACATTTTGCATGTGTTGAACATGTGGGGGCTGGGAGGACAGACCAAGAGAAGAGAGAAAGTGGGAGGGAGAGAAGAAAAAGAGGAAAGAGGAAGAGACTGAGAGAACAGAAAGAGAGAGAGAGAGAGAAAGAGAGAGAGAACTGGCTAGTAAGTGTACTTGGCCTGTGGTAGGGCCTGCTTCTTTGTCATGTACATGATGTTGAGATGTCTTTGTGGGTGGCACATGATTTGATTTTATCTTGCATGTCTTAGCCCATTTCTGCAGCAATAACAAAAGGCTGGTGATTCGGTCACTTATAAGCAAAAGAAATCTATTTCTCATGGTTCTGGATACTGGGGAGTCTAAGAGCAAGGCCCTAGTCTGTACTTCCAAGATGGTACCCCTGAAGTCTGCATTCTCCAGAGGAAGTAAATAGTGTGGACACTTATAAACAGTCTCTACAAAGAAGAATGTAAGCTTAAAATAGTGGAAATCATAAAGGAATATATTGTTATATTTTACTATGTAAAATCTGAAACTTCTCAGAATTAAGAAAAGCTACTTAACTGCAACTAAAACAAACAATAGTTTCTTGAAATATGAAAGAGAAAAGATGATAATCTCTATGACAAAAAATTACTAAAGATCCTATGGATCCTATGAATAGCATAAAAATCATAAAAGAGGAAATACTAAGATTTAATAAATATTTAAAAAATTTTAAGTTCCATTTTTCTCTAAGTAGTAGTAATCTTAGAATATACATGTTAGCAAGAATCAAAGAAAATAGACCCTCTTACACACTGATATGGGGACATAAAATTAGCACAAACCATTTGGAAAAAATATTGGAAATTTTCTCTAGAGCCTTAAAAGTATTGTATCAATAATTTCATATATAAAAAAACCATCCAAACAAAATAATAATAAAAATATTATTAATAGGTATATCCTTTTTTTTTTAAATTTTTGAGGTACTAGGGTTTGAACTCAGGGCCTCATGCTTACTAAACAGGTGCTCTATCACTTGTATCATGTCCCCAGCCCTTTTTTGTATTATTTATTTTCCAGATAGGGCCTTGAGGTTTTTTTGTCTGGGAACTAGCCTCAGACCAGGATCCTCCTAGTTATTCCCCTCCTCCTGGACCCTGTAGGCTCCTTGTTCCACCCTGAGCCAAAGCCTAGAGTCTCTGTCCTCTGCCACTTTCTCAATTGTATGAGCACAATACTGCTAGGCCAAAGATCTGATGTCCCCATGGCTACTAGTTGGGCTAGGAAGTACTGCTTTCTAGAAGGAGGGAGAAGCTGAAGTTCCAGAGAACTATCATCAAAATTCACAGGGAGCTGGGAGAAAGCTTGCAAGTATATTCTCTTCCTACCCATCCTGGTGGGTCCTTCCTAAACCTGATGTTCACTTCTGTCTGTCTAGAGATTTCCTGTGCACTGGAAAGCCAACTGGACTTCTTCATGAAACTCGGTCAGCTTGGTAGTGGTACACCATTCATCTTTCTCTGTTTTGTCTTGCTGTTCTCTCATCGAGCATTTGACTTCAGCTTTACCTCAGGCCTTGTTTTTAGGAAACCAGTCTAAAGCAGGATTTGAACAGAAATTTCATACAAGAAAGGAAAATGCCAAATAAACATACAAAAAGTGCTCCAGCTCATAAACAATAATGTACATTCAATCACAACGAGATACCACTTTTTTGTACAGCAGTTTGGTTAAAAAAAAAAGATTAACATCTCATGTTAATGAGATGTGACAAAATATAGTGGTCATAGGAAGGTGTGGGGGAGGGTATTCTGGTAGTGTGTAGTGAAACATTAAAGGTGGTGATCTTTGAGCCAGTAGTCTTTGGTACATGTGCATTAGTTCATAAGGGTACACATGCAGACTTTTCTCACAGTATTGTAATAGTAAAAAAAAAATAGTATATGAGTGCACTTAAAAAGGGAAATACTTGAATAAAGTATGATCTGTTCATTTTATGGAATACTATAGAGCTATCTGAAAGAGTAAGTTAGAATCATGTGTGATTGCTGGAAAGATAGCTCTGATATATTTTAAGTAAAAACACCAAGTTACAGAGTAGTGTCTATAGTATGATTCTATTTTTTGTACAACAAACCAAAATTCCTTATATATTTGTATCTATTCCTATATGTTTGTATAAGGGTTAAAAAAAAAAACAAAAAAACAAGACAAGGAAGGATACACCAGACTGTTAGGACTGGTTAGTCAAAGGGGTGAGACCAGAGGTAGAGACAGTTACTGACTTTTCTCTTATACCTATATTATTTGATGTATTGCACTGAGAGTTAAAATTAAGTAGGTGATAGGTGGACAGTTGAATCGAAAGAAGGAAGAATTGAATAAAAGAAGAAAAGATAGAAACTTTATCCAGAAGTAACTTAGAGTGTATACTTCTTTAGTCTAATTTCTTCTTTGATTGGTCAGTACTAAGGAAATGAATTTAAGCTTTAGCCAGACTTTCTCATTATATTGTTTGTGAGCAGTAATAGATTAAATTTTTTAAAGCTCTAATTTAGCACTATCTATCACCTCTCATGGTCATGTCCTCTGATCCAATAATTGTACTTGTAGAACTTTTATAGAACTGTTGTTAAAGATATATAAAAAAAATATAATGTATCTAATATAATATCTGTAATAAAAAACTGGAATAACATAAACATTACAGCATCCTATGCATTCATTAAAAAGAATAAAGTTGATTATTATGTGCTCCTGGAATGACAAGTATGATTTGTGAAAAGAAAAAAGCATCACCAAATAGTTTTAACACTTTGTTTTATTACAGATTTTTTACTTATCTATGAAAAATTATACTTATCTCTGAACAATGGTACCACAGGGGATGATTAAATGTTTCCCCTAATATTTCTTACACTACCATGTGGCTTGTTTCTTTTTTTTCTTTTTTTCTCTCCTCTCCTCTTCTCCCCTCCCCTCTCTCACAGGAGAGAGTATATAATATGGAGAATATATATATCATCTTGTGCATGGTAGACAAGCACTCTACTACTTAAGCTATGCCCTCAGCCGTTTTGTTTATATTTTGCTTTTGAGACAGGCTTCACTTTTCCTGGGCTAGCCTCGAACTTGCAATCCTTCTGCCTCTGCATCCCAAGTAGCTAGGATTACAGGTGTGTGCCATCACACCCAGAAGACTAACATATGGTTTCTGTGATTAAAAAATAATGAAAAATGAAAATCTCCCAAATTTTCTCCATGATTATATGTTTTTATTATCATATGAAAACAAATAAGCAAAAAATTAGATTTACCAATGTAATGAATTGTGATTTTTTATTTTGCATTTGTGTCTTAAATCCTAAGTGGAAATCTGCATCGAATTATTTTATACTTTGTCTTATTCCAAAAGAAAGTGAAGTGTCTTTTGCCCAAGCCAGAGAATGACTTCAGTATATTTAAAATAACAAACTAAATGAACTCAGTGAACACTTGCCTAAATAACAGTAGTCTTTAATAAATTTATTTTCTCTGTGTGTGATATGGTAATTGGGGCTCTAACATGTGGGGCCTGGGAGTAAAGGTTGATGGTGAATTGTCAGTTAGGCCTGTGTGAGGTTTCTATACAGTCGATCACTGTCTGTCAGCTCCTTTTGGGCATGCTACTGTATTTCTTTAAACCTAGCCTGCTCTGTTCAATTGTAAATCTAACTTCAGGAATGAGAAATGAATAGGGTGCCACTCCTTGAAGGAATAATGATAGAATTTAAAATGTGACAAGTTGAACAATGTTATTATGAAGAAAATCATTGTGAAGAAAATCTATTTGTAGTTAAGCTTCTTAATGGGGCTGGGATAGAAAAGTGGAGAACGAAAGGAACTTTTATATCTGTCACATATGCTTCTTCTTTACCTTTGTGATATTTATCACAAAAACAATACCATAATTATTTTCTCCTAAAAAATTACATAATCTGTATGAACTCAGTAAACACCTGATAGCAAGAAGGGAGTTTACCCATCTGTCCTCCCACCCTTGTTTTTTTCAGTCATCAGAGAAGAATTCTGGATACTTCCAAATGTTGTGAAAAGATTCATTGTTCTGTTTTGCAGCTCAGATGAAAGCATCTCTTGGGTATACTTTGCAGCCTTCCTTGGTTGACAACTTACTTTTTAAGAATATGTGGATACTTTTTTGCATTTGAAAGGAGTTAAAGGACTCAAAACTTGACTGGGCCAACACTTGATCGGCTTCCACATGTGCAGCCTGTCTGCATAGACCCTTGGGCAACACCCACACACTCACCTTTTTTGTGTCCCTACAAAGAATATATACAGTGTGCTACATAGAAACTGATTTTTTTCAGTACCTCTGACATCCAGACTAATCTCATCAGATTGGAGGTGCCTTCACATAAGTGACAAATATTTATTGATTACTTGCGGCCACAAGGAACTGTGCCACACATCTAGACATACAGGGAATAAGCAAGAGGCAGTCTTGACAAGCTTGTAGTAAGGGGAAATAAATTACTGATGTTAGCAATAGACTCTTTAATATATCTAATTTATTTCTCTAGTAAAGGATTGCCATCTATTTGCTCACTGGCTAGAGCCTTGCAAATTTCAAGCTGTGGCACCATTGTGAAAAAATTTTCAGTTGGGTTTATCTTCAAAATTGACTAGTACCAAGACTGTGAACTTGATCCAGTTTTCTACACATGTGTACATAAAAAAAATTCAATTTAAGGATTGTAAGATAAAGAGTGTAATACTTGCATTGGATCATAATTATGGCTCCTTTTAAAGAGGTACAAAAATGCTGAGTTGATTGGCAAAACACTAACGTTAGATGTAATTCTGTGTTGATACTGGCTTGATACTAATGGGTTTGCCAATGCAAACGTACTCACTTAAAGGATTTTCTTTTGCAGGAGTTTATTTTGTCAGAAGATTATAACAAGATGACTCCTGTGAAAAACTATCAAGGTAGGAGTGAGAGAAGTGTTTTTATTACCCCTAAAGAATATTTTAAATACTTTAAAAACTATTTTAAATGGTTCTCATTGCCACAAGAGAACATTTAGTTTACATAGTCTGGGGAACAAAACACAGAAACCATGTGAGGTATTTTGTGAATCAAGTTGCTGAGGCCAAAAGAGTTTGGATTAGTTGCCTGTGGTGCTACAGCAGGTCAAGTGCAGAGTGGACCAGGTCACTGTGACTTCTAAGCCTTTGTCTTCCTGCACCACACTGCAGAAACAGCACAGCAGGTTCAGGAAGCAGGGGCCAGCCAAAAGCTGCTTTACATGGGAACCATTTCATATTTGCTAAATGCTTTAAAATGCTCGTAGTATTCATATTGCCCAGGGGAAAGAATTACAGCTTTTACCACATCTTCAGCATTGGCACCGTGGCCATTTTCATAGCATACATCAGGATCAGTGTCTGGCAGGGATTTCTTCATCCAGACCACAGTGTTGTACAACCCAGACATGAAACCTTGAAGTCCTAGTGGTCATTTCATCCAGCTCTCTCAACCTCACTCATACTGTATGGTCACCCAGGATCTCCTTGAATGCCTCCAGGAGACATAGCAGCAACCCATTCTGATTTTGAGAAATTCTGAGCATTAAGTTCTTTATTTTAAAGTTTGGAGATAGAACTCATTTTTCTCTGGCAGTATTCTGTAATTTTTTCACATCTCACTCATTGGGTCTTTGTTGAGTATCTTCCATGTTCCGGTAACTCAGGACTATATTAGTGAACAAGACGTGTAGTTTGTGTCTGTAAGCAGTTTGTAATCTTGTGGAGGGTGCAGACAGGTGAGTGTCCATTAAACTGCTGCGGGGGAAGTATTGGAATGTCCCCTGTTGATCTTTGCTCAGCCTGGGGGCGCAACAAAAACTGACTAGTCTCTTCCTACTCCTGTCTTCTTCTCCTCCTGTAGTCTTTTTTAAAACTTCTTTTCTTAGGCTAAGCATTTTATATCTCAACTCCTGTTTTTTATGACCTGAGCTTTTGTTCTTTAAAAATGTGCTTTAATTGTCTTGCTCAGAGATTTGTGGCATCATATTGTGCCTTTAGGACTCTTTGAAAATGACACCATGTGGCAGGCAGCCTTTAAGATGGTTCCTAAAGATGGTGCATACCTTGGCCTCCTGGTCTGCACACTCCTCCCTTTGAGTGTGAGCTGGACCTAGAATGTGGCAAATGATGGAGATCACTTTCGAGTCTACCTTTCAGAGACTGGGGCTTCCACTGTGCTCGCTCTCCTGCTCTCTTGCTGAGTGTCTGATGGAAAGCAGCTGTCTTGTGGAGTAGATAGGAGGCACTCAGGGACGCCCCATCAATGACCAGCTAGGAGCTAATGCTCATAGTTCAGCAGACGGGAACTAGATCCCACCAGCAACTATGGGAGAGAGCCCAGGAACAGACCCTTCCTCTGTTAAACTTTCAGATGAGACCCCAGCCCCACCCCATATTCATCCTGTGAGAAGACCTTAGCAGAGGTGCCCAGCTAAACTGCACCAAGATGTCTGTACCACAGAAACTGATACAATAAATGTTTACTATGGAGCCACCAACTTTTGGGTAATTGTTACACAGCAATAAATAGTTAGTACATGCTTATAATCTGATAAGTGCAAAATCATATATTTCCTTCCTCTTCTGGGCACTGTTCTTCTAGTACAAAGGGGAAACTTTCCATTGTGGCTTGTAGGGAGCAGTTAACACCTCAACAGTTCTTACTTGAATTGTTGTTAGGCTGTTTTCTGTACTTTCGAAGTTGTTTTTTGTTGATGGTGGTGGTGGTGGGTTTTTTGTTTTGTTTTTTGAGATCGGGTCTTGTTATGTGCCCCAGACTGGCCTCAAAGTTATAATCCTCCTACCTCAATCTCTCAAGTGCTGGGATTATAGGTATGTACCACCATGCCCAGATTTGAAGTTCGGTTTTGTTTATAGTCTAAGTTCAGGACTGCACATTCTATTGTTAATCGTGTCATTTTATGTAGCTTGTCACCTCAGCATATGGAGAGAATTTGAAATCCCAGTTGTCTTTAAATATATTAATTCCCATTTGGTCAAAGGCTGGACATGGTGGCACATGCCTGTGATCCTAGCACTCAGGAAGCTGAGGCAAGAGAATCATGAGTTCAAAAGCTAGCCTGGGCTACATTGTGAGATGTTATCTAAGAAAGAAAGGAAGGAAGGAAGGAAGGGAGGGAGGGAGGAAGGAAGGGAGGGAGGAAGAAAGGAAGGAAGGAAAGAGGGAGGGAGGCAGGGAAGTAGGGAGGGAAGGAAGGAGGAGCAACCATGAATAAAACAGGAAGATTTTTTTTTTAAGTTGAACTTTTTAAATATGAAAAATGTCACTGAACTACAGTGCAAGGCTCTGAATTCAAGTCTGCACCATAAAAAAAGAAGAAATTAAAAAATCAGTGGATAGATTAAGTAGACTAGACACTAGTGAAATTAGTGAAATGACAGATGGATTTGATACCAGTGGAATGTCTTTTAAGTACTGAAAGAAAAAAAAATTCCCAAACATAGAATTCTATACTCTGAGAAAATATCTTTCAAAAATGGAAGTATAACTTTTTCAGAAATAAAAAATTAAAAGATTTCATTACTCATAGACCTGCACTGAAAGAAATGTTAGAAGTCCATCTGGAGGAAAGTGATATCAAAGGGAAATGTGTATCAGCTCAAAAGAATGAGGAGTACCAGAATTTGTAAGATTTTTTATTAGTTGGTCTCCTTAAAGAACACTGGTTACTTAACTAAAAATAATGACAGATTATCCTGGAGTTCATATCATACGTGAAATTAGAATGTATGACAGCAGTAGCACAAAAGCCAGGAGGTAAGAAAAAAATGGAAGTATGCCACTGTAAAGTTCTTATGCTGTACATGAAGTGTTGTATCACTTGAAGGAAGACTGTGGTAAGTTGCAGAAGTATATTCATAACCCTAAAAAAAGCATTAAAATAAAAAAAAACAGCTAAGGAGATAGAAATATCAGAAAATAATTTTCAAGGAATTGAAAACAGGCAGAGTAAGAGGGAAAAGGGAAAATGACACAGAAAATAGAAAACAAGTAGAGAGATGATAGATTTAAATATAACAATGTCAGTAACACAGTAAATACAAATGGTCTAAAGCCAATTAAAAGGCAAACCATAAGACTGAGTAAAAATTTTAGAACCAAATATAAGCTGTCCACAAGAAGCTCATTTTAAATTTAAAGACAAAAATAAGTAAAAGTAGAAAGATGGAAGGAGGTCACACCATGAGAATGGTAATCAAAAGGAAGCTTGGATAGCTTTATTAATATCAAAGTAGATTTCAGAGCAAAGAATGTTGGCAGTGATACAGAAGATTGTTTCATAATAATACAGGACCAATCCATCGCAGAAGACTAGCAATCCAGCTTATGTACCTAAGGACATAGCTTTGAAATATGTGAAGCAAAACCTGAAACTTTAGGAAGAAATGGACATGGCACAAGGTAGTCAGATGATTTTAATATTCTTCTTTCAGTAGTTATTATGACAGGCAGGAAAACCGATAAAGTATAGAAGACCTGAATAACACTATCTGTGACCTTGCCATAATTGACATATGTAGACATTCCATCCAACTGAAGCACAGTATGCATTATTTTCAAATGCACACAGAACTTTCACCATATTGTGGCCGTAAAACAAGTTTTAATAAATTTGGAAGGATTTAAGGCATGTAAGGTATGTTCTCTGGTAAGAATGGAATTAAAGTATAAATCAACAGAAAGATCTCTGCAAAATTCCAAATAGTTGAAAGCTCAATAACACTTGAATAACCAGGGGTCAAAGAAGAAATAAAAAGAAAAATTAGAAAGTATTTTGAACTAAATAAAAATGAAAACAAATATGCCAAAAGTTTAGGGGTGCTGCTAAAGTAGTACTTCAGGGGAAAGCACTGACATTAGAACCCACACTGGAGGTTCCTAGCTACTTGGGAGGCTAAGATCAGGAAGATCTTATCTCAAAAATAACCAGAGCAAAATGAACTGGAGTGTAGCTCAAGCAGTAAAGCGCTTGCTTTAAACCCTAGCCCCCTTCCCCCACCAAAAAAAAAAGAAATGAAAAGAGGGTTCAAATCAGTGGCCTTGGTTTCCATGTTACAAAACCAGAGAAACAAAAAGAAACCTAAGCTAAGCAGAATACGGGAAAGATTGTAGCAAAAGGTCATGCAATAGAAAACAGAAAAATCTATGAACCCCAAAGCTAATTTTTGAGAAGATTAATAATAAAGTAATAAACATCTAGCCAGACTTATCAGGTGGTGGGGGGAGATGGAAATTACTAATATCAGGAAAGATCAAAGTGACACACTAGTGAAGAGCAAAGTTATATTTAAAGGACAATAAGAAATACTATGAACAACTTTTACCTAAATATGATGACGCGAAGAAACCACCAAAAGATTCAAACTGCAAAAGATTACTGAAGAAGAATAGATAATCCTGGTGGCTCTATGTGTATTACAGAAATTGTAGTTTTAGTTAAAACCTTCCCACAAAAAAAGCTCCAGAGGGCTGGCAGCATGGCTCAAGTGGTAGGGCACCTGTCTAGCAAGTGAGAGGCTCTGAGTTCAAACCCCAGTGCCACCAAAAAAAAAAGTCATGCAGGACCACATGACTTTTTGGTGAACTTTATGAAACATACGAGCAAGAAACAATTGCAAATCTTTTGGAAATTGGAGAAATGAAAACACTTTACAGCTTATTGTATGTAATAACTATTTCCTGATACTAAAGCAATTAAAAAACATCCAAGAAAAGAAAACTAGGCCACCATTCTCCATGAAGATAGACACAAAAAAACCTAAATAAAATTTCACCAAATTGGCAGGGCACCAATGGCTCATGCCTGTGATCCTAGCTACTTAGGAGTCAGAGATGGGAAGGATCGCAGTTCAAGGCCTATCTGAGCAAATAGTTTGTGAGACCCTATCTCAGAAATGCCCAATACAATAAAGGGCTAGCAGAATGACCAAAGTGGTAGATTACCTGCCTAACAAGCATGAAGCTCTGAGTACAAACCCCAGTATTGAAAAAAAATTCATCAAATTTAGTAATATGTAAGAAAGAGAATACATTATGATCAAGTGAGGCTTAACCTAGGAATGCAGTATTGGATCAGTAATATATTCTCCAAAAAAGTGAAAGTAAGTGCTTAAACAGGTGTTTGTATACCCGTGTTCATAGCAGTATAGTCACAACTGTCATGAGCTGGAAGCAGCCTAAATGTCTCTTGACAGATGAATGGATAAAAAATGTGGTATGTACACACATTAGTAGCACATTATTAACCTTCAAAAGGAAGGAAATCGAGACATGTGCTACAATACGAATGAATCTTGAAGACAATACTAAGACTGGCTAAGTGAAATAGCCAGTCACAAAAGAACAAGTTGTAAGAATTTCACTTATATGAGGTACTTTAGTCTTTTATAGAGACAGGAAATAGAAGAGTGGGTGCCATGGCTGGGGGAAAGGAGAAATTGTGAGTTATGTTTAACTGGTTCAGTATTTGTGTTTGGAACAATGCAAAAATTCTAGAAGTCTAGTGGTGGTGATAGTTATACAGTAGTGTGAATATGCTTAATGCCACAGAACTATACACTTAAAAATGATTAAAATGGTAAATTTTATATTATATATTTACCACAATAAAATTTTAGAGATTGCAGTTGAAGTTACTTAATACAGTAATGAAAGCATAGTTGAATGGTTCAGTAAGTATGAATTCCTCTCAAAAAAAAAAAATAGAAAAATTAGAATCTTTATAAACTGCTGATGGGAATGTAAAATGGCATAGCCCACTTTTCTCAGTTCCTCAAAGGATCAAACATTAAGTTACCCTGTGACACAGCACTTACTCCTACTTACATACCCGAAAGAATTGAAGGCATATATTCACATAAAAACTTGCACACATGTTCTTAGCAACATTATTCATAATAACCCCCAAATAGAAATAACCTCAATGTCTATCAAAGGATAAATGGATAAATAAAATGTGGTCTGTACATATAACAAAGAATTATTTGGTCATAAAAAAGGAATGAAGTAACCAGGTGTAGTGGCACATGCCTGAAATCCCACCGGGGGAGTTGTGGATTCAAGGCCATCCTAAGCCACATAGCGAGACCCTATCTCAAACAAACAAACAAGCAAATGGAAAGGAGAATACATGTTACAACATGGATGGACCTTGAAAACATAATGCTAAGTGAAAGAAGCCAGACACAAAAGTCCACGTATCATATGATTACATTTATATGAAGTGTCAAGAATAAACAGAAAGAGATGAGTAGTTGAGCAAGGATGGGGAAGGGAAGAGTGGATTGTCATTTGGGGTGATGGAACTATTCCAGAAACAGATGGTAGTGATAACTGCACAGCATTGTGAATATGCTATATACCAATGGAGTGTACACTCTAAAATGGTTAAGATGATAAATTTTATCTCAAAAAAATTTAAAATATCCGTTATCTCCAAACCAAAGATGTTACAGGAAAGGAAAGCTATAAAACCAATATCTCTTATAAAAACAGATACAAAAATCCTCTAAAAATACTAGCAAATCAAACCCAACAATGTGTAACACAGTGTCATGACACAAAATGACCAAGTAAGATTTTAGCTATGTAAAGCTATTCAACATACAAAAAATACTGTGGTCCATCACATTAACAGGCTAAAGAAGGAAAATCATGTCAATCAATGCAGAAAAAGTATTTGAAATCCAATTCATGATTGGATTCCTAGCAAACTAGGAATAGAAAAGAAATTCTCCAGCTTGATAAAAAAACCATCTCCCAAGTCCTGTAACTAACATCACAGTTAATAGTGAGCAAATAGATGCTTCCCTCTGATATCAGGACCAATGCGAGAAGATATTCCCTCCCTACTCTATTTAAGAAACCAAATGTGAAGCCTACATTTTCTTGTATAAATGATAAGTATGTGTCTTTGAAGGGTTTCTTTTTGAATAAAAGAATTCCTTGAGATTTTGAGGGTTTGTTTGGCTTGGATCTTTTTGTGTTGGTTTTGGAGGGCTCTTTTGGCAATACTGGGGGTTGAACTCAGGACCTTGCATTTGCTAGGCAGGTATTTTATCACTTGAGCCATGCCCCAGCCCTTGTTTGGCCTGTTTTGTTTGTTTCTATTGTTTCTTTTGTTTCCCAGTAGTCATAGACAGCCTGACACTGGGAAAAAAGAACTGACTTTGCTGTAGAAAGACCAATATCACTCATTGGTTTTATAGCTCTGAGCAAGACAAGTAGCATATCTAGCCTCAGTCTCCTCTGGCACATGAAGACCACTCCAGAATCGAGTCTCTGGCCCCTTGTCTTCTACAGCTGCTGTCATCCCCTTGGAGTTAAAAAATGATTCATGGCCAAAGGGCCATTCAGGAGAAAGGTTGAGAGGTGCTGGGGGCCACTTTTTACTTTAGATAACTTGGGTACACTTGGACTCTTAGAGGTTGTTTTATTCTGTTGCTGGTGGAACTTGGATTGAACATTTATGACACAGATGAAAAAATCTTCAGGAATTTGTCCAAGGAGTCACATTTTTAGTTAAAGACCATGTTTTGACCTTGATGGTGGCTGGTACTCTGAAAGGCAGGATTTGTATTTTAGAGAAGTCATACTATTATTGCTTTCATATCCCCTTAGTTTCTCCATGCTTCAAATACCAAATTTTAAAACTTTAGGCATTTGTTGAAATGCCAGTCCTGTGCATATCCACCATATTTTGACTATATTGCATGGCTGTCAGCATTAATGGGCCATCTTGCTAAGGTCAGGTTTGCTATAAAGTCAGGAGATTATCCACTTTGCAAGGATTTTACAGTGATTGATAGAGAATACGTTTAAGTACCTGGGTGCTTATTAGCCACTCAGAAATTAGCAGGTGGTATTATTACCAATGGAACTGCATTTATCTAGCTATACTAAGTCTGCTTGGTGTTCAAAGTGGGAAACCCACATCTCTATCACCTCACCACACTTTTGAGTGTGCTCCTGCTTCACCAGACTGCCAACAAGGTGACAAGTGTCCCTCTTTGTTCATTCCATTCAGCTGTATTAAGCAACCACAGATCCTTCCACCTCACTGCTTGGAATGGTATAGTAAAATAAGAAGGCAAAAATCTTCCTACCTGATTTCGTTTGGTAATTGAGAAGCTATGAGACCTTAGCCAAATTACTCAACTTCATTGTACCTACCTGACTGTATGTAAACTAGGGAGATGGGCTAGGTGGTATTCTTCTAACTCTGAAATTGTGTGATGTAAAAACTCTTATAATGAGGTGTCCCTCATATATGAGCAATTCTAGGAAATTTGCTTTCATTATCAAATAGATGATAGATAGATACATAGATAAGTAGATGCTTTGGCAACATGGATAATTCATTCTCTTTTTGTAATTCTGTCTTCCTTTTCAAGCATTTGATTTCTGACAGAAAACTGTTCATCTGGAATTTTGTTATGAGTTTATAAAACAGACTTCATTAAAAGAACAATATACCCTTTACTTTTTGGGGAAGTGCACATAAATGGACCAGAGAAGCTGTATTACAAATGTCATTCCTAATGTGTTTGTGGACACTGGGTCCAGAAGCCCTAGTATGTTGAGGAAGGTGCCTTAGGCCCTTGAGTAAGGAGCTCTCTGAGGCAGTAATTCTTGGGTTGGCGCAAGCGGCACTTGTGGCACTTGCACCAACCCAAGGAAAGGAGCATTGGGAAGAAATGGATCATTTTTTAAAAATCAGATAAAAACTCAAACACACCTGTTTACAGGGGGAAAACCTACCACTGAAGAGAGTCACCATTCTGCCTTGTCTGTGCTGTGAGCCTTTTCTGGGTGGGGAGAAAAGAACAGTGCACCTCTGTGGACCGTGCTTTTCAAGCCTCCTTAGGATGCTTTCTTTATGCCTTGTTTTCTTTCTTGGTTTTCAGCGCATCAGAGCAGAGTGACAATGGTCCTGTTTGTCCTGGAGCTGGAGTGGGTGCTGAGCACGGGGCAGGACAAGCAGTTTGCCTGGCACTGCTCCGAGAGTGGGCAGCGCCTGGGAGGCTATCGCACCAGCGCCGTGGCCTCAGGCCTGCAGTATCCTTTGCTAGACCAAACCTCTTGGTGGGAACTTGGCTAGTGACATCTTTGGGGTATGTGCAAGTTAAAAGGTTTCTCTTATTTGCTGAGTTGCCCTGTGTGAATAAGATGCTCAGAGACTTTCCTAAGACTTGAGTCATCAAGAGTCCCCATGTAAGTGAGGTAACTTTACCTGAAATAATAGATCCTGCTAACTACTGTGACACAGTTCGGACATTAAACAGGACACAGGCCAGGTGTGAGAGCCTCAGCTGCAGAAATAATATGGTACATGGTGGTAAAACCATCACCAAAATACAACCTCTGGTTTTTGTGTACAGGTCATTTCCTTATAGCCATTAAGGCTGCAAATCTCCTTTGGTGCTAGGGGAAAGAACTGCAGAGGTCCTATTCATTTTTAAGATATTTCTTGAGAGTCTACCCTGCCAGGACCAGAGTAGATTAGCGGGGCTCTTTATGTTAAGCTGCAAGCTTTGCTCCGGGCTTGAGACTTTCCCAGGATACAGAGTAACTTCATCAGGGTCTATGTGCTCAGGGTGAATCCCTGCTCATGCCAGTAATCCTCACTTGTGGCTAGCTGGGCTCCAGCAAGCAGTGTCAGCTGGTGGATAGCATGTGTAGACACTGCTCCAACTGCAAGGAATAAAGGACTGGGATTCTTAGTTTAAAAAAGGTAGCCTCCCTCCACCTGCTAACAAGTGAGGAAGTAGGTGGAAACAGATCACCTGTCAGAAGCAGAAAGGCCTGCTTTTTTTCATGTTCAGATCCGTATTTACAATGATGTAACAAGGTAGATTGCAGTTTCTTTACATGTATTTGGCAGTATATATGTTTGTGTATGTGTATAGGCTAATGATACACTTATTTTTCTCACTGGAAGGGCAAGATGAAGAAACTAAAAATGACCATTTGTAGAAGGTTGTTAAAGTGGCTTAAATGTAAAATGCCTGCCTAGCTGATGTGAGGCCCTGAATTCAAACCCCAGTACCACCAGAAAAAAAGTGGCAAGTTACCAAGATCAGAGGCAAGGATGACAAGGAGTGGGAAGCAAGATGAACTGTCTTGCTTTCTGAAAGCCAGTTCAGATGAGCACAGTGCCTGATTAGTGATTTCTTACAGTATTAGAGCCAGAAGGGCCTTTACTTCACCGTCTCTGTCTTAAGTCTGTTTAAGTTGCTTTAATGAATTAGCATAAGTAGGTGGTTATAAGCAACAGAAATTTATTTCTCGCAGTTCTGGAGGCTGGGAAACCTTAACAGATTCTGTCCGTATCTACTGAGAGCCTGCTTACTGGTTTGAAGATGACCATTTCTTGTCATTTTCTCACCAGTAGAAGAGGCATGGCAGCTCTCTGGGGTCTCTTTTATAAGCATGCTAGTCCTATTCATGAGAGCCTCCCGACCTAATCACTTCCCAGTGCCCCAACTCCTAAACCCATCCTTATTGGGAATTAGTTTTCAACATAAGAATTTAGGAAGGGACATGACACTCGGTCTTCCTTAATTCACACATGTGTATGGACATGATACACATACCATCATAGGCAAATGGTAACTGTAGGTGTGTAACGTATAACGTATACATTACACAATGTATATGTAGTCAAATCATCATGTTAGACACCTTGAAACTATATCATTTATATTTGCCAGGTTTTTTTAAGCCACCCTCATTTTTCAGATTGGCCTGCCAAAGGCCAATAAGGGTTCTTTGCCTTCTGAGGCCACCCATCTAGTAAGTGGGAAAATCATCACCAAACCCTGGGGTCTTCTGTTTTGGATTCCTCTTTTTGTTTCCCCCATTGCACTGCATTGTTCCTTTGCATCCAGAACTAGTGGCAGTGACGGAATTTGTTCTGATGCTGATTTCTGTGTCCCCAGCCAAACCTAATATGCACCTTCCATAAAACTTCTGTATCACTTAGCTAACCTAAAGAGTGTGGACAGAAAGTCAGGTCTTGCCCTCAAGTAGTTAACTTTTTAAACTATCTGAAAATGCCAAATGAAAACAAATGCAGTGAAACGTTCCCTCACTGTAGTAGTCTTGTACAAGATTATAGCCTCTGGCTCTAAAAATCTTCATTTTGTCACTATTCCTTTTGGCTACACCATGTGGCTTACCAAGCAGAAAATCTTGGGTGTCAGAAGCTTTGTGTGCAGGTGTAGAATTGTGAGCTTCTGGGCTTCAGTTCCCAGGTTAAGTGATCGTTCAGCCACGTCGCTGTGAAGGTGGAGGGGAGCTGCAATGCTGTAGACAGGTCCTCACAGGAGAGTCCCTCACCCCTACCAGCTCTGCCTTGCCAGCTCGGATGATTTTGTAGCCAATATGCCAGTACTTGCTCCTGGGTATTTTTCCAGTGCTAAACACTAATGGCTGTGCTTTTGCCAGAGGGTCTCAGCCAAGAACCATGTGACTTTTCCAAGACTGGAAGTTTTTTCTGGGAACTGGTTGATGGACAGACAGGTTGTTAATAGGCAAGCCCATATGGTATTAGGAATCTCCTTTAAATTCAGCTTTACAGCATGTTCTTTCATACTGTACCTCTAGCCTCTCTAGTTCCCTTCCCTCATTTCTTCTAACCACGCTCCATTTTTTTTGTTGTTTGAGACAGGGCATCACGATGTATCCCAGTCTAGCCTGAACTCCCCTGCCTCAGCCTCCCATGGTGGGATTATAGGTGTACACCACCATACCTGGCTTACCCTACACTCTTAAAGGTTTTTTAATTAATGAAGGTAGGAGGAAGAGATCTGGTGAAAGAATGTAAATGTTAAGAGTTTTATCATTATTTGTTTATCATCATATTGGACAACTAGGGGTATAGGATGGAGACCTTCACAGATGAAGTAACTCTGTCCCATCTCCACCTCACTCATTCATCCAAGTCAACAAGTGACAGAATAAATCAGATTGAATTCAGGTTTTTTTTTCTCTCTTTTAGGCCTCTTAGAAAAGTAAATATGTAATGATAATAACCAACATTCAAGTAGAGAATCAAGGAAGAGAGACTGACCAGTTCACAAGTTAAAGTATCAGTTTCTGGATAGCCTCAAATCTTTTTTGTTTTTTGTTTCCATGATATAGCAACTAAGATAAAGAGAGGCCCAAAAAGCGTACATGCGTTGCTCAAGGTCACATGACTATCACCTAGCAAGACAAGAATTAGAACTTGGATATTACAGTTTTTGAGTATTTCTATGCACATTTGAATACAGCAGAAGTGGGTATTTCCCAAAGGTCCCAAGATAGCTAGGTGGTAAGCAATGAAAATGTTTGCCTTCCCCACCTCACTTGCTAGACTTTAAATTTTTCAATACTTAATCTAGTATTTAATCTGTCAGTCTCTTGTTATTTGGTCATGTTTTGATTTTTCTGTTTCCACAAAAGTAGCTCAAGTATTTTTTATTTTGAGATTTTCTTCATGTCGGAACTATTTCTAAAATGTCATCTATATAGTGAAATGTCTTCCCACCAAATGTAATCCCTTAGATATATTCCCAGGCAGGTAAAGAGTTATGGAAAGCTATTAAGTTTATCTCACTTTTTTCATGTCATGCTTAATGTCAATCACTTTGCTTTTGAGGTTGTACTATCATTTTAATTTCAACCCTCTTCTAAATAGCTTTTACTGAATTCATTTTTTTTAGAGAACTGTTATTCACTGCAGTTGCAAAGATTGTTGAGTATGAGGACTCATCTTTTTCATCTTCATTCTTATAATTAACATGATAAACTTAAGATGATCTTTTTGCGTATAAGTTTTCTCTTACCTATGTTTGATAACTTGTTTGAAGAGTGTGGTTTTTTGTTATGTTTTTTTCTCCTTCACTCTGTTTTGATGTTTTATTATGAAAAAATTTAAACATGCACCGAATTGAAGAAATGTAATGAACACTCACCCATAACTCGCCTCACTATTGATTCTTTTATCCCGTCTTACTTCCTCTTTCCTTTTTTGCTGCAATATTTCAAAGCAAATTCCAGATCTTAATGTCACTTCATCCTTAATACTTATTATGGACCTCTAAAATATTAATCATTTTTCTATAATCACTATGCTGTTATTACACCTAGAAATTAATGTTCATTCCTTGATATTTTTGAATAGTCAATCTATTTGCAAATTTCGCTAATTGTTTTGCAAAGGGCTTTTTGCAGTGGGTTTGTGTGAAATTAGATGCAGACAGTATCCACCTTGTGCACATAGCTGTCATATAGTCTGAACTGTCCTTCATCTAGAGTAGCAACCCCCCTTTTTTGATGTCATTGCCTTGTGAAAGATAGTGAATTGCTTTTGCAGACAGCTTCTCCTTTAATCCATCTCTCTGCTTTCCCACAATGTCATTAGCTTGTTCCTCTGCCTTCCCTCTCCTGTATTTTCTGTACATTGAAAGTTGCCTCTACACATTAATTCCATGTACATTCATGTTTCTTGAACAACACTTGGTGATGGTTCTGTGTGCATCATGGTACTTCCCACCAGGAGACACGTGAGTGGGGTTGTCACCCTTCTAGTCATGCTCAGCCTGGTTTCATGGGTCTGAGGGAGGAAGGAATGAGGTCTGGACACCTGGATCTGAGGAAGGGGAAGCTCAAGTGACAGTCTGAACCTTGCAGTGCTGCCTTCCCTAGTGATATTTCTGTTAGAAGTTCCACCCATTGGTAAACTTAACCTGAATTAACTAGGGTTACAAAGAGGGCACTTTCTAATCCTTTCATTTTTTTTCTACATGTATTAGCTAGAATTCATTTTTTTTCTACATGTATTAGCTAGAATTCTTTGTAAACTAGGACTTTCCCTCAGTAACTTAGACTACTTGGTTACCACAAAATACAGTTACAATAGAAAAAGCAAGATAAATTATTTCTCCTTAATTCTAATTGTCATCAGAGAGTTAGCACCCTGGCTACCTCCTGTAGAGGTCTTTTCTTTGTCTTTTTGTGTGAGCATTATCATGAACTCTTAAATTTTTTTTTAAATTTTTTTTAAAAATACCACATTCAGTATGTTTCAATGAATGCCATCTTTTTTTTTTTTTTAGTCACATTAAAATTGGCCAGTAACAGCCATAGCATTTTGGCCCCAATGTCTGTGTGTATGTTTGTGTTGCCAGAGATTGAACCCAGGACCTTGTACATGACAGAGAAGCACTGTATCACTGAACTCCATCCCCAGCCCTTCACTTCTTTGTATAAATTTTATTTTTTTAAAGACTAATTTTTGGAATAGTTTTAGGTTCATAGCAAAATTAAAGAAAAAGCACAGAGATTTCTCTTGTACCTGTGCATGCAGGGCCTCCCCCGTTACCAACATCCCTCAGCAGAGTGGTACTTTTGTTATAATCAATAATCCTTTGTTGGCATGTCATTATCACCCAAAGACCACAGCTTGTGTTACCGTTCTCTCTTGCTGTTATTCTCTTGCTGTTATACCTTCTGTGAATCTGGACAAATGCATAATGACATGTATCTTACGCTGGAGTACTGCCCTAAAATGCCTCTGTGCTCCACCTGTTCTTCCCTCACCACCCCCTCATGTGTTACTGCTGTGAGCCTCTAGCCAGTGGTAGCTTCCTTGCTTTGCTTTCTGGCACCTGTCTTCAGCTCATTTTGACCTTTTCCTGTACCAGTCCTGGAATCAGCCATTCTTTTAACAAAGAGTAGTACTCAGAGGGAGCTACGAAATTGTGTATGTATGTGTGTGTGTGTGTGTGTGTGTGTGTGTGTGTGTGTTGTTTTTTGAAAGAAAATAATCAATTTTAGAATGTAACACATATGTACAGGAAAGCAATGCAAGTAAACTCCCTGTATAGCTATCCTTATCTCAACTAGCAAAAACCCTTGGTCCTTCCTATTATTGCTTATACTCTCTCTACACAAAATTAGAGATAAGGGTAAAATAGTTTCTGCCTGGTAGCGGGGGTAAGGGAAGAGAAATGACCCAAACATTGTATGCACATATGAATAAAAGAAATTAAAAAAAGAAAATAATCAATTCATATATTTTTATTCAAATATAGCTTGAAGTTTTTACTTCTTCATTTTTACACTTCATTCTTTTATCTGGGGCTGAAAGCTTGGTTCCTAAGACATTGACATAACTCCAATGGTATATTTAAATGGATTCAAAATAATAAGCAGAATTGTAATAACAGTAATACTACTGAATAAGATTTTAGTTTCTTTAAAGCTCTTTTTAACCTTGTAGCTTCTTCTACCAAGGATGTACATTCAAAATTGTTTGTTTGTTTCTGAGACGGGGGTCTCACTTTGCTGCCCAGGCTGGTTTTGAACTTCTGGGCTCAGCAGTCCTCCCTTGGCCTCCAAGTATAGTTCCAAGTACCTGGAACTATAGACATGTGCCACCATACCCTGTCAACATGTTGTATTATAAAGTCACTTGAAGGAGTTCCTTCAGTTATGCGGCTATATCATAATTTGATAGATTTATTCATTTTACTCTGTTTTCAGTTTGGAGGATTTTTTTCTTTTAATTTTATATATGTTTTAATATGTCAAAAAAATCACAAGATTCCAAAATGGAAACTATAAGCAAGAGAAGTGTCACTGCCCCTTCACCTGTTTCTCCCTCCATTATGAGCAGCCATTTTTGTCGGACCTTACCTTTCAAGTGCTTCCTTTTCTAAATATTAGCACTCATGCACACACATACACTTATATTTCCCTCCACACAAAGGTGATATGGTTTATAAGTTCTCACATTCCTTGACTTTCTTTCTCCCACTTGTGTCCTGGAAGCAACTCTATGTCAGTGTCTGAAGAACTTCATTTTTCCCCAGCTGCTTAGTATTCTGTTGTGTGACTATGGCATAGTTAATTCAGCAGGCCTCCTACTGATGAACTTATGGGCTATTTTCAAACTAGTTATATGGAGTGAATGGGCTATTTTTGTAGTTTTGCTGATGTATTTCTGGGATAGACCTCTGGAAATTGAATTGCTAAGTACTATCAACCAGAGAGACTCATTAGAAACTCTGTACCTAGTAGGGTGTGGTAGTGCATGCCTGTAATTCTAGCACTCAGGAGGCTGCAATAGGAGGATTATGAATTTGAGGCTCCCTGGGCAACATAGCAAGACCCTGTGTGAAGAAATAAATGAATGAAGAGAGAGGGGGAGAGAGGGAAGGAGAGAAGAGAGGAACGAAGAGAGAGAAGGAAGGAAGGAAAAAAGAAGAAAAGAAAGAAATGCTATGCCTAAAGGTTTTACTAGAGCTAGTCACCTGGACAGCTTTCACCTAGCACATACCAAATTTCTAGATTCCAAGAAGGAAAGCAGGTATAAGCATAAGCACCATGATTTGTATAGTTATGGCACAGTGAGCCACTCTTACCAGTTAGTGGTGGGAACCCTCCCAAAGTCCAGGTTCCCATACCCAATGCCAGCTGTGTAAGCAGCCTTGCAAAAGAGAGCAGTCAGGCCTTCTGGGTTAGCTCTCTGTGCACAGACCATTTCATTTCTTCTTGAACTGTCCATTCATAGTTTCATTCAGATTTTGCCCATTTTTCTACTGGGCTTGTGGTCTTTTTCTTTTTGGTTGTTCTTTTTATATTAGGGGCTGGGCTTTTGTGACATAGTTGCAAATGTTTTTTCCAGTTTATCTTTTCGCTTTGTTGTTTGTGGTCTCAAGATATAGCTTTTTCCAGTCCCAAGATATAAAGAAACTCATTCTTCTGGGACTAACTTGTTATTTCCTACATGTAGATCCCTAACTTATTTGCAATTTATCCTGGTGTACAATGCCCCATTTTTGTCCCAAATAGCTATGTAGTTTGTGCCAACATGATTTTTTAATCCATCTTTTCCTTACTTGGTTTTGAAGAGCTACCTTTTCCAGACATATACTAGATTTCTGTATGCTTTTAGGCCTATTTCTACACCCTCTATTTCATTAGTTTGTTTATTTTTGCACAAATACCACACTTGGAAGAAATTTTATAGGCTGAACATTCAGTGGTGCTACCTCTAAAGAGAACAACCACACTTATTGTAAGGATTTTGTACTAAGTAGTTCAGAAGTGCCTTCAGGTAGACCACAAACTGTGACAAAAGGTGTAGAGTCTCATTTGTGCAGATTGGACTCATCATATATTTATCAAATCAAGAATTCCAGATAAGAGTTTTATCCTTCACTGCAGACCTTCAGAAAGATGGTGGAGATCCACGGCCTACAGTGGATTTACCAGATTAAGAGTATAAACCATGTCCATATTGGGGAAAAGACACAATAAAAATACAAGGATTAGAAAAGGCACAAACCCTTCAAGTTTGTGAGAATATCACACCAGTAAATGCAAAACTGGAAATGATTGATATGACTCAAGGCCCTGAAGTTGCTACAGGATTCCAGTGGAGGAAAACATGTCCACCACGTGCCTCTAGAGCAATGGGGAGTTAGCATTGTGGTGGCATCTCAATCCTGTAAGCAGGAAGCAATAAATCCTGATGCCACAGAACTTCAGGTTAAAAATATGCCATTCTTTTTATTGGAATGTACATATCTACCTCTGGAAAACCAACATGTTATTTCATTGAGATTATATTAAATTTGTAAGTTAATGTACTAAGAAGTGACCTCTTTGTCATGTTGAGTTTTACTATCCAATAATACATACACTTTGTCTTCATTTTGGTAAGCCCACTTTTGTGTCTTTCATCATGGTCTTCAGGTTCCCCTTGGCATGGCATTTGCATACTTCATGTAAAATTTATGCTTTTTTCCCCCTTTTTTACATGCCCCGCCTTCAATTTTGGGAAACAATCCTTAATGCTTACATGACAGATTTGATGTTGAAACCCGACATGTGTTTATCGGTGACCACTCAGGCCAAGTAACAATCCTCAAACTGGAGCAAGAAAACTGCACGCTGGTCACAACCTTCAGAGGACACACAGGTAGGATTCAAAGCATTATCGTGTGCTGACATCACAGTGCTCATTCACCCACTGTGTGTTCTGATGTTCAGATGATATGTTTGAAAGTGACCAAGTACAACCTGTGCTGTACAGAGGAATGTAGGATACACTTAACTGAATACAGAATGATTCTGTAAGAGATAATCTCAGAAAATTTCTTTGTAATCAAAACAAAGCAGAAACCAATCTATTTTGAAAATGTTCAACTTGCACTAGAAAAAGCCAGTGTTGTTGGCATGTGTAAATGAAAGACTTGAGACTATGTGGCAACTGCTCAAACCCCAGAAGACTGAAAGGACAGCTGCCTTAGTCTGTTCTTGTCACTCTTGGATGAGAAGATGGTGTGCAAGAAAAATACCCACATCAAGACAAAGGAAAAGAAAAATATTCTTATAACAGGCAGCTAGACTACCTAAAAAGGAACAAGTTCATTTTTCCCTTCCTTTGGGGTCTTGAGGGTTATAACCCGAGATTCCCTTTGTGTCACTGGTCTGTTCAGGATCATTTAAGCAAGGCGATAAATCAGTCTTTCTTAGCCTTTGGAAGACTTGAATAGATGATGGTGATTCATGTTTGCTAGCATTTTTAGGATGCAGCATTGCTGTAGCAAATGTTGATCCTGGGAAATGAGCCTCTGCCTGTTTTCATGGTCCTTAATGGACCTTTGTGTTTTTCTGAGACTACTAACCCATAATTTAGTGTGGAAGAGGGGTAATACTCAGTTTGGATGTCATGTAAGAACAAAAGGAGAGAAAAGAGGATGTTTAATTTAGTCATAAGGAATTTCCTAAAGGAAAAAAGTTAGAATGTTGGTATAAGAGTCATACAGTAAAGGGAAGATTGAATCTAAGAAAGATTCATAAAAGGTTATCTTTATCTATGCCTTTGAGAGGAAGAAAGTATAAAAACTTCCCCTGTAGATTAGACTCCAAACTCTCTCTCTCTCTCTCTCTCTCTCTCTCTCTCTCTCTCTCTCTCCCCCTCTCCCCCTCTCCCTCTCTCTCTCCTCTCCCCCCCCACCCCCTCAGCAGCACTGAAGATTGAATTTTGCCACTTGCCTAGCCATGACCCTAGTCCATTTGCTTTCCTTAATTTGTTTTTCAGACAGGGTCTCTTGCTAGAACTAGCTTCAAACTGTGATCTTCCTACCTCCACCTCTCAAGTAGCTGGGAACACAGGTGTATACCTACACATTGGCTTGTTTTTGAGACAGAATCTTACTAACTTTTGCTGGGATAGCTTCGAACTGTGATCCTTGTCTCTGTCTCCTGAGTAGCTAGGATTATAGATGTGTACCACTATACCTGGCCTTCGTTGGCTGTCTCTTTTTAGCCACCTTACATCCTGGCCAACTCTGGGCCTGGTAGAGACCAGAACCATCTCACCTCAGAAATGTTAAACTTGTTTCACTACTGGCCTGAGTCTCTTTGTCTTTCATTTTTCTAAATCCTTCCTTTGTTAAGAACTCCAGTCCTCTGTCTCTCCCTTTGACTCAGCCCCTGTATTCACTTCTTCCCCAGGGGTGCATCACTTTAGCCGTGTGCTTCCCATCATTCTCACTTCTGTGACTCAGATTGTTCTTCATATGTTCTTCCCTGTCGGTGAGCTTGGAGTCTGTGATTCAGATTTTCTGTCTACCATCTTTGCTTTTGCAGACACCTGCTTGCCTGCAAGTTGTGCTTCCTTGAGACCTAAACCTTTATTACAGTTGCAAGGTCAAGTGCATGCAGTTTCCCAATCTTCCTCCTACCTGTGCCTTGTACACTCATTTGCCAATCCCCTAAACAGCTTTTGCAGACCTCCACCACCCTCCCCTACCTGCCTCTCCATCCCTTCCTCAGCCTCCTCCTTCTAAAACTATCAGATAGACACTTTTTAAAAAATATATTTCTTGCCTGTTCTTTATTCCCTCTATTCCAGCAACCCAACTTTTCTTCTACCCCTTCTCTTCCACTTGGTGTAGGAGTTTGCTTTCCTCTAGCCCCAGGCTGGTTCCCCTCAGGATCCTTACTCCAAAGTAGATTCCCTTTGTTTCCCTTTTGACTAGTTTGCTCTTCTCAGTTTAGTAGGAAGCTTAAGTTTCTTGCCTTAGAAGAAAACAACCCAAAACCTTCTCAATCCTATGACCTGTGGTAGCAATTTCATCTTATTCTCTCAACAACACTCTTTTTTTTTAATTTTATTTTATTGTTTTTACACGTAGTTACATGTATATACATTATTTGGGCTACCCCCGCCTTCAGGCAGAACCTGTCCTTCCCTCTTGTTCTCCAGTTTTGTTGAAGAAAAAACATAAAAGATAAAAAGAAAAACATAGCTTTTTTTGCTAGTTTGAGATAAGTATACAGGGAGAGTCCTTATATTATTTCCATACACATGTGTATTACAACCCACATTGGTTCATCTCTACCAGACCCCTTTACTACTTCCTAGTCCATTACCATAGTGGCCTCTGCCAGTTTTGGTTGCTATATTCATTCCTATACAGTGAACACATCAACCACATTCAAGTGTTTGGTTTTCTTCCCTTTCCCTATCCTTCCTGTGTGCAGACTCCCCTCAGTGTGCAACCCTTGTCCAATAATATTACTGCATTTGTTTTAGGCCTGTAATCTGCATATGAGGAAGAACATGTAATTTTTGGCTTTCTGAACCTGACTAGCTTCGCATGAGATGATGTTTTCCAGTTCCATCCATTTACCTGCAAGTGACAAAATTTCATTCTTCTTTGTGGCTGAATAAAATTCCATTGTGTATAAATACCACATTTTCTTAATCCACTCATAGGTAGTGGGCATCTTGGCTGTTTCCACAGCTTGGCTATTGTGAATAGTGCTACAATAAACATGGGTGCACAGGTGCCTTTGTTGTAACCTGACTCATATTCCTTTGGGTATATCCCTAGGAGTGATATAGCTGGATCATATGGCAGATCTAGTTTTAGTTTTTTTAAGAAGCCTCCATATTGTTTTCCATAATGGTTGTTTTTGCTTTCATTCCCACCAGTGGTGTGTGAGGGTTCCTTTTTTCCATCATCCTCACCAACATTTGTTGGTGGTGGTGTTCTTGATGGTAGCAATTCTAACAGGAGTTGAGGTGGCATCTTAGTATGGTTTTGATTTGTATTTCCTTTATGGCCAGGGATGGTGAACATTTTTTCAGGTATTTTTTAGCCATTTGGACTTCTTCCTTTGAAAAAGTTCTGTTTAGTTCAGTTGCCCATTTCTTTATTAGATCATTGATTTTTGGAGAGTTTAGTTTTTTTGGCTCCCTGTATATTCTGGTTGTCAGTCCCTTGTCTGATGTATAGCTAGCAAAGATTTTCTCCCATTCTGTGGATGGCCTCTACAATATAGAGACCATTTTTTTTTGTTGTGCAGAAGTTTTTTAATTTCATGTAGTCCCATTTGTCAATCCTTTCTCTTAGTTATCAAGTCGCTTGAGTTCTACTGAGGAAGTCCTTGCCTATGCCTATTGCTTCTAGTGTATTCCCTGTCTTTCCTATACTAGCTTCAAGGTTTCAGGTCTGATATTAAGGTCCTTAATCCACTTTGAGGTGATACTAGTACAAAGTGACAGGCATGGATCTCGTTTCAGTTTTATGCAGGCAGATAACCACTTTTCCCAGCAACTTTTGTTGAAGAGGCTAGCTTTTCTTCATTGTATGTTTTCGGCACCTTTGCCGAAGATTAGGTGAGTGTAGTTACATGGACTCATATCCGGGTCCTCTATTCTGTTCCACTGGTCTTCATATCTGTTTTTATGCCAGTACCATGCTGTTTTTATTGCTATGGCTCTGTAATATAGTTTGAAGTTGGATATTGTGATACCTCCAGCATTGCTCTTTTTGCTCAGTATTGCCTTGACTATTTGTGATCTCTTGTGTTTCCAAATGAACTTTAGGGTAGATTTTTCAATCTCTGTGATGAATGTCATTGGGATTTTGATGGGAATTGTGTTGAACATGTAGATCACTTTTGGTAGTATAGCCAATTTTACTATGTTGATTCCACCAATCCATGAACATGGGAGAATTTTCCACCTTCTTTAGTTCCTTCTGTAGTCTTCTTCAATCTCTTTCTTCAATGGTTTGTTCTCCTTGCAGAGGGCAATTACATCCTTTGTGAAGTTTATTCCTAGGTATTTGATTTTTTTTGGAGGCTATTGTAAATGGAATTGTTTTCCTATATTCTTTCTCAATTTGTTCGTGGTGTATAGAAAGGCTACTGATTTTTATAAGTTGATTTTGTATCCTCTACTTTGCTGAAGCTGTTTATGGTGTCTAGGAGTTTTTGGGTGGAGATTTTTGGGTCTTTAAGGTATAAGATCATGTCATCTGCAAATAGGGATAGTTTGACCACTTCTTTACCTATTTGTATTCTTCTTCTTGCCTTATTGCTAGGAATTCCAAGACTATGTTGAGTAGGAGTGGGGAGAGTGAGTATCCTTGTCTCATTCCTGACTTTAGGGGAAATGGTTTCAGTTTTTCCCAACTAAGTATGATGTTGGATATAGGTTTGTCATATATAGCCTTTGTAATGTTGAGGTACATTCCTTCTATTCCTAATTTCCTCAGAGCTTTTAATATGAAATAGTGTTGAGTCTTATCATATGCTTTTTCTGCATCTATTGAGATGATCAAGTGGTTTTTGTCTTTGCTTCTATTAATGTGCTATATTACATTTAATGATTTGTATTAAATCATTAATGTTGCACCATCCCTGCATCCCTGGGATGAAGCCAACTTGGTCTTGGTAAATGATCTTTCTGATGTGTTGTTAGATTCAGTTTGCCATTATTTTATTGAGGATTTTTGCATCAGTGTTCATTAAACAGATTGATCTGTAGTTCTCCTTTTTGGATATGTCTTTGTCCAGTTTTGGGATGTGTATTATACTGGCTTCATAAAATGAGTTAGGCAGAACAACACTCTTTGTTTTAATTGGAAATATACATAACGTAAAATTTACCATTTTAAC